CCCATGCCTCTTGTGGCGGTAGCCACAAGCCGTTCGTGGGAGGAATGCTCTCCAAAGTGTCCAACCCACTTGACACTGCCAACGCCACTTAACTCGGCAACCTTGAATCCAGCAACTAGATTGTTCCGCAGCTTGTCGCAGAGGACCTGCCACTGAGGCACCGGTTCGGCTTCAGCACCGTCGTGACCCCGTATCGAAGTGCGACGGGACAAGCTGCTTTGGGTACTATTATGCCTGCCTAGTCCTGACGAGTTCGAATTCGACGTAGAATCCTGACTTGCTGGTGGTGCTTCCGGTATCGCGTCCAAATCTTGGGGGATGCCGTAAATCCAAACCTCGTTGCCCTGAAAACCTGCCGAAACCAGCTCTCCCTGGGAGGTGGTGGCGGGCAGAGTACAGGGCAAGAGCTTCGTCTGCAACTTGGCATTTGGAATCGGGCCAGTGAAATAAGTCGTCCCATTTCGGAGATCATCGAGGCGCACGGCACGAAAGGTTTCGAAGCTGCGGTCATAGGTGAATGTCCACTCGGGCTCTCCGTGTTCGTCATCGGGCAACCATATGGCATGACTGCAGTCACGACTCGTATTCGGAAATAGGATCGAGGTAGTCCACATGGCACCCAAATTTTCCTCCAACAGCTGGCTACCAGGATCATAGTACGGTGCTGTGAGAACAACAGTGCATGGCGGAGATGAGTTTACCGTGGTGCCCAAAAGCTGGGTCCCGTCGAGTGAAAAGGCCAAGGCGTCAACCGCGTCACACTTGACAGCTCTCTTTTCTGTCGCCAGAGCGGACGATTTCAAGGAAGACACTTCGATGCCTCCATCATATGCAGCAGCAAGGACGGCACCGCAAGCGGATATTGCAATTGTCTGTGGCTTGTTGTCCAAAATCAGGGAGTGCTCTCGATGTGGTGGCGACTGGGTCAAATCATAAATATCGACCTGCATCTCACTCGACAGCACAGCAAGAGTATGAGCATCATCAGTAATGCAGGCCGAAGCTGGTCGTCGTTGAATCTTAAACTCCCGTTTGACGTTGACTGTTGGGCTGCAGACATCGATGACGTAAATCCTCGACGAGTTGTATGCCAGAAGGTGCTGGCCTCTGGGTGAAGAGGCAAACTGCATCCCCTCCCCACCAGGACATGATGAAGAGCTGATTGAATTGGACACCAACTTTATCAAAGTTCGTTTGGGGCGCAAATAAGCTTCGAATAGGTTTCGTTTGACCTCGCGTGCAAAAAGGCGGCGAAGTGCGAGCAGATTCTCATCTACGGCGGTGGGAACCGGGGAATGTGAGGTTGCAAAGGACGGGCATTGCGCCAATTGATGTGTGTAAAGGTGAGGGCGTTGAGATGTTGCTCTCCACTTGCTATTGAGGAGAACCAGAGATGCGAAATCGCTTGGTTCGGCGGCGAGGAGTATTCTTGTGGCACGTCAGTATCTTCAGGAACGACAGCAGACGAGGCGGCGGCCCCATAGGGGGAAGGCATAGCTTACTGCTCGATAATCTCGTCGGGAAGTCGATGGAAGGCATCGGAGTCGGCTGCGACCTGGACGGGTGCCTTTTCGATGCTAGATCGCCGCTTTTCTGTCACGACGGGGTCGTCCATGGCGAGGTTGAATGCTTCCTCAGGGCCAGCGGTAGGCGGATGCTCGCGGCAACCATGCGGGCACAGAAGGAATTATGAGGTTGCGAAACTGTACAAGGTTGACATGGCGTTCTAAAAGGTTTTTGACAAGACGGTGCGCCGAGAGGTACTTGTTGGAGAAGGAGACTGGAAACTAATGAGACAATGGTCTGAAGCGAAGGGGCGTTGCCGTGTGCGGAGGTCAAAAGTAGCGTCAGTGCGGAACAAGGTGGCTCAAACGGGTGGCAGAAGATTGAAGGCAGCAAATTCCTGGAGTGACAAAGGCCAGACACGAGCCCCAGCGGCCCGTACTCTGTAGAAACTAGCACTGCAACGAACAACAGGTGCCCAGGCGGTGGCGCCGCCGCACATGTGTACAGGGAGCACTTGAGGGCAGCTGGCCTAATTAGGCTACTGGGGCTGCTAACGGCACTCGCCAGCCCGCTACGGCAGGGAGGGGACAGCGTGCCAGTCCATCAATGTGTCGGCGGATGCTTGGAACTTGGCAGAGCACTTGATGCACCTCATTGGACCGATACAATGTTGATCTTGCCAAAACATCAACAACTTGTTCCTCATGGACTGTGCGAGCAATGCCATCCCTTGGGCACCTTGGACGCCGTTGTTTCATCGGCCTGAACAAACGCCATGGACTGCATTGAACACTCGCAACATACGTCGTCAGTCGCCCTTGTGTCACCCCCCGTCGCAGCCAGTCCTGCCGCTGCATTCGTCCATCTGCCATGTGAGCGTCTGTCATTGGCATGTGTCACAACATTTCCAAGTGCTCACTCACGGTCAATCAATGGTGGCGTGTTTCGCGGACGGCACATCATCAGTGGCCATTTCCAACGTCACTCCGTGTCAAGTCATAGCCCAGGCAGGTGGATGGTTGGGCGAATCAACTGATGCCCCAAACAGGCAAAACAGGAGATTGAACAGCTCACAGCTCACCGTTCACCGTTCATTCAATATCCCTTCCCCCTCACGCTACCGTCCTTCGTCTGTCGGCTTGGCGGTGGCAAATCGCGATTGCAGTTAGTATTGCGGTCGCACCGTCGATCCCATGGCAAGTGTCTTTATTTAGAAGCCGACATTTTCCAGAAGCCAAGATTGAATTTGATGGAGCTGATCCCGTCAACCCCGCCTGGCCAAACTCAATGTCCGGCTGGTTTAAATGGCGTCGTTGGAGGGTGGGATATATTTGGCACACCATGTTGAACACGGAGAAAACGAGCGAGACGGCGAACATGCAACCACACAACCCAACCACATATGTACGTAAAAGCGTGGGGACACCGATCAAACTGATCTCAGGCATTGTACATGTCAGCTGCCTGCTTAAGTTATTGGTCCGTCTGCTTTGACAGTGAGAAACACTGATTGTCGCCAACGAATTGACAACGGGCGTCACTTGCATGTGGTGTGATTGGATGCCCCCCGAACACTTTTGCTTCCCGATGGGGCCAGCTTCGTCGCCAGCATAGACTTGCAGCGCATTCCATCATCGGGCATGGCGTTGCAGAGATGCTCCCGCCTGTCATCTTGCATTGACTCCGATCATCCCCTAAATGCAGCGAAGGCGGCAGCGAGGTCACGACAGGGATTTTAAACCAATTAAAAGCTAGTATTTAAAAGGTACTTCATTTTATCCTTAATTCATATGATAAGAAAAGTCCCCATGAACTTTCATATTACAAGAGACTACATCACACATATCATAACCCCACTATTATTAGGCCTGATACAGTTATTGGTGATGTCACTTAAGGTTTACGGCCGGTGGCAGGGGCGTTATGGAGCCCGTGACCTCACTGCCGCCTTCGCGGCCCGCAGCTGATCCTTGACAACCACCGTAAGCGGGTGGCGGAGGTTGTACTCCGTATCCCCTAAATGCAGCGAAGGCGGCAGCGAGGTCACGACAGGGATTTTAAACCAATTAAAAGCTAGTATTTAAAAGGTACTTCATTTTATCCTTAATTCATATGATAAGAAAAGTCCCCATGAACTTTCATATTACAAGAGACTACATCACACATATCATAACCCCACTATTATTAGGCCTGATACAGTTATTGGTGATGTCACTTAAGGTTTACGGCCGGTGGCAGGGGCGTTATGGAGCCCGTGACCTCACTGCCGCCTTCGCTGCATTTAGGGGATAGGGAGTACACATCTCGCGCCATGCTTTCGGTGTCGGTGGAACACGGCCATTGTTCCGTAGGCGACTGCCTCGTCAGTAGTGCGCATCGCCTCCAAAGAGAATATTACACCTGTGCCCCGCGACACGAACTACACACGTGCACCGCATGAAGGAGGCGCTGAGCTTGGCCGGAGCTAGAAAAAGAGCTTCCATCTCCAATTGCTGCGCCGCCTTGAGTTACCGTGCAGCTCTATGTACACTGAGTATTTGGTAAAGTGCCTCATGCGGCTGACGAACTTGTATGCGTGAGCAGGCACACGTCCTTGGCGGCGGCGTAGAATAAAAACCATGCCATGCCACGGGAGAGGGATCTTGGACGATGCTATAAAAGTCCAAGCTTACCGTAGCCCCACTCCAAGTTCTCGGCAAGCAAGTCCTTGTGAATAATGTTGAGGCAGCCTCTCGAGTCACAACACACCGGTGTTACTCGGTCGACACGGGGGTCTGTAGTCCCAACCAGGTCGACTCCAAACAACATCCTTCAACCGCTTCAAGTATCCAGCGCGCAAGATAACAAACACCCTCAACACGTAATCACCGGCCCCTAGGTGCAATATCGAATAGCTGCGCCTCGACGAAATACACCCCGTCCGTGTAGCTTCCACAACCCTAAACTTCGACAGCAGCTCGCGGCAATTCCCGTTTCGTAAATACCGGGTAACTACTAGTTATGCCAAGATGTCATCAAGACAAGGAAGACAACAAGCTCTCTCCGCACGGCCGGTTCGATGGCATGCTAGGTTCACGACTTGTACGGAAATGCGCATAATCCGATACTAATTCCATTATATATTTATAGGCCATCTCGGCCAAGGGGGGCATACCAGTCCACGCAGGCCGCGTCCTATTCTGCTTTCTGCCAAAACGCAAACCTCGATATTGAATTTCTCCTTTCCACGCTGCACAGACCCATCCATCCTCGCATGTGAAGAATCCACCTTTTGCACCAAGTTGCTTCTTTGGAAGAAAAAAAGGCAACATGTTCAATATCTGCCGTAACCTTGGGCTCACCGCCGCCCATGTCTGTCCGTGACACAAAACGGGTATTTGGTATAAGTGCTTGGTAAACAGGTACAAGGAGGGCACAAAAACAAATAGTAATCAATGCTTGCTCAGGCGCAATGCAAATTTCAAGATAAGCGTAAGCGCCGGATAATTATCCGCCTCCTGACGTACAAGGCCAGCGCAACGCCTACCCCGAAGAAGATGGGCATCAGGTGGGCGTGGCCCAACATGGTGATGAGTTGCGCATCATACGAGTGCCACGACGAGCTGCCCAGGTGCTCGAAGAGAGGGGTCACGACTCGGCCGTTGAGGCTGTGAAGAGGGCCGGGGAGAATCTTGTAGTCTTTTCGATTTGGCTGCAGCGTGTGCAGCACGGATGCGAAATGGCCGCCTGTGCTGAACATGACGGCGGCGTAGGGCAGCCCGAACCACCGCTTGTTGAAGGCTGGCAGGTTGTCGAGAATGGTGCCCACCATCGGATTATGCCTGCTCGCCATGAGGAAACTGATCGAAAAGCCCGTTGGGTGCGCCTCTGGCGCGACAAAGCCGAAGCGCCTGAGCGGTCCGAGGGCCCGTCTACATCGCACGTCCAAGTCGAGAATCGCGCCGCCCATTTCGTACAGGATCATGTATCGCAGGGCGTCAATCCGCTCAATCGCGTACGGGTAACTGTCCCACATGTCCTTCAACTCTGGGAACTTCTGCTCAATAAAGGGGACGGCATCGTCGTCTGTCCACAGCCGCGTCTCCCAGTCGGGGTGTAAATCGACACAGCTCTGCAGCGCCTCCTCCCATTGAGGTCGCCAGTCCTCCCTTCTGGTGCCGAGGGCGATGTGGTGCAGCACGGGGGGGACAACATCCTGGTACGGCTCGCCCGCAGTAAGTTGGTTGCGTGTGTAATTCGCAAAAGTAACGTCAAAGTTGTCGTGCTCAGCGGAAAGTATAAAGTCGGCAGCGTTGGCGCGCCAGTGCATGTTCAGCGATATGAGCGCCCATGTCTGGTAGATGACATCCTGAAAGAGTAATACGGCAATGAACAGGATTACGGGTATTAGCCAGAAAACCGGCCGAGGTCTGGATGTGGTTGATCGAAGGGGGCCGTGTAGGGGCATTGCAGCGCCGTCGACGTCCCGCGTCTAATCTGACGTCGAGATGCGGCGACGTCTGTGTATGCAAGCTGACAAGTTTTGAGACCAGAGGAACTTTGCCAGTCGCATGGGCCACAGGGCAATCAATGCGATATGTTGAATTGAGCAAGAAACGAAGAGAATACAAAGAAACAAAAAAAGAGACACACAAATACGTATGTATGTATGACTGAGAACGAGGGGGGGGGGGGGGGAAGGTC